CACTAGACACTTTGCTAGACACGCTATTTCAAGGTCTGTATCATTATTACAATTTCAAGTATTAGAAAACTGAGCCACAGAGAGGTTAAATATATGCCCAGGGACATTCAGCCAAGAGTTCTGGAGCCAAGACTCAAATCCAAATTTATCTGGCTTTAAATCTTTCCATTACTCCATGGGGCCTTTGCAATTAATCCGACAAACACATGTTGAGTTTTTTGGAATAAAGAAGCAAAGAGGCAGTAAAATCACAAGGGAAGCTTATTCAAGATGCAACAGACACCTAAAGAGATAGGAAGTAAACTAAAAGTGTTCTGTTTTTTTATGTAGCATTTTTTAGGACCCATTAGCTTGCTTCTTCTATTTTCTAATCATTGCCAAATACACTTTTCAATTTATTTTTATGTCAGAATTATATGAAAGGATTTAAATTTTCCTTGAAAATCATGTACACATTCAGAATATTCCTAACTGAACATTTCTGAAATGTAGCTACTTTAACTCTCATGGCATTGGATATTATGTGACTCAGCCAAACATGAGAGGATTCACAGGGAGCGAGTACTTTAGAGGACCTCTGGGACGACTCATGCACTAGAGCAGGTGCTAGAAAGACAAGCCAGAATCTCCTCTCTCAATCCCCAGGTAGATTTCCTCCATTTCAGCATATATCAAAAGTGTTTGCTCAACAGAATTACTCCTGCTTTTGGGCTTAGTACCACCTTACTTTTTAGATGATGCTGACAGTGATGGAAAAGACAACCTAAAATGACCTTGTTCTCTTTGTTGTGGTTAATAACATTAAATTACTTCCTCGTAAGATGGATATGCTAGTCAGAAGGCAGCCATTGGTATCCAGTGTTCTTCTCTAAGTTTCCTGCCCTAGTAGCCAAGGCAAGCATTGTTGACTCTGGAATTAGCCCTCTATTTCAGAATTGCCTCGTCATGATCCTCCTTTGCTTTCTAGGAGACCCAATAGTTTGTGCTGAGCATCTGTCCTAATCCCTTATCCCAAGGGTTAAAGCAGCTGTTTTAACCTGGCTGCCTGGCATTTCAGTTGCCAATCTTTTTTGGAAGCCGGACCTTTGTCCCATTACAAATACGTATTAACAGTGAATTGATCTCCCGGTTCACAGCTGCCTGCCTGTCTGGCTTCCTGCTTGGATTTCTCAGCCCAGAATCTGTCACTGTGCTCTCATACTTGAAGTTCCAATATTAGCTCAAATATGACTGAAACGATGTCTTTCACTCAACTACTATTTTTTCATCTAGGTGTCACTTCCTTGGTATGTCTTGTACTAGTGGGTAGGTTGGACATAGTTATGCATCCTTTCTTCTCTTTGCTGCCCCAGTGTATTTTTGTTTTTGTTTTTTGGCCAAGCCATGTGGTTTGCAGGACCTTAGTTCCCGTACCAAAGATCAAATCTATGCCCCTTGCAGTGGAAGCACAATGTTCCACCCACTGGGCTGCTGGGAATTCCCGCCCAATGTTGTTTTGGACAGACAGTTGATTATAATCAAAAGTTAGGAATGTTTATGATGATAGGTAATAGGAACAAATCCAGAAAAGCAACTGAGTTACAAAATAAGTAAGTGTGTGTTCCTATAAAGATACTAGAACACAGCAGTAGGTATTTCACAATCCAGTGCAATTTGGGAATCCAAGCAGATATGTAGACAGTTTACATAAGGGAATTCTGTTTAAATAATACAGGGCTAAGGCAAGATATCTGGAACCCTCTGATGTTCCATGTACAATCTCCATCTATAGAAGACTGGCTGGAAAAGTCAAGACTTTAGTCTCAGGGAGGTTGGACCCAAAAAGTTTACTGGGACATGAATAGAAGAGCAAGATAAGGCTCCAGGTTCTAAACTAGATTGTGAAGTGGGAATTGGATTGTGGGTAAACTTCAGATGTCAAGATGTTAAAAATGGAACTTGAGAATTGGAAAAGGAGCAAGTTGAGTTGATGGTGATTCATCTGAATATGAATCAGAGCTTCTTAAATTGTCCCAGACCAAGATCATCACTGAGCCTCAGCTCATGGAAAATGCAGTCACAGAAATAGAGATTTTGGCTCTTAATTCATTAATTTATTCCTAGCGGTCTCCCACTAAGAATATTCCAGTGTAAACTATGACCAGTAAACTGTTAAAAAGTGACGTGAATAATTTTGAAGGCTGTTGCTTTCTCCAGGGCATTTATAAATGATTACTGATTGTGTATTCCTATGCATATGTGAAATGAAAAGCCCATCTTCAGGTGGTATCTGTGAAGTTCTGTGGAAGTCCTGTGTATAAGAAACCAAATTTTTCTTCTTCCCCTTAAGTTTTATCATGGAGCCAAGCTATGGTTAAAATAGTCTATTGGGATATATTATTCCAGGATTTACACATCTATATATGTATGTCTCTGTAGGTATGTACAGAAGGGTCTGAATCTACATCTATAAACAAGAGGAAGTAAAAGGTGTTCTGCTAAGTTAGAATAGTGCTTTATCATCCCCAGAGAAGGATTTGGGAGTAAGGAGTCAGCTTCATGTCTCTTTTTAATATAGCACCTGGTCTCTGAAGTAGTATAAGTTTCTGCCAAGGTGCACATCAAAGCAATTACTGTAATTTGTTGTATTTTAGGAATAGCTGTGATTATTTCAATCCCAATATTTATTGCAATTCTATTGTTTCAGCTTTGTAATAAATTGAATGCTGTGCAAAAATGAAAATGTGCATTTTCTTCCATAGGGAAACCTTCAATTTAGCAAGGGACACAGAATAACAAATTAACCTTGATCACAGTATTGAAAGTGCTGGCAAGATATATAATGAAAAATATTTATATATAGGAATCTGTACGGGCTTCAAGCACGTTATAGTGCGTGCACACACACACACACACACACACGCACACACACGCAGAGAATCTCAACAAAAAGACAAACAACCCAGTTAAAAAATGGTCCAATGGCCAATAAGCACGTGAAGAGGTGTTCAAGATCATTAGTCATTAGTAAATGACTACTCAAGTGCAAATCAAAACCATTTTATATCCATAGGATGGCTTTAATTAAAAAACTAAAAAATAACAAGTATTGGCAAAGATACAGAAAAACTGGAACCCTCATACGTTGCTGATAGTAACGTAAAATAGTACAGCCCTGTGAAAATCTGTTTGGCGGTTCCTCAAAACGTTAAACATAGAAATACCATATGACCCAGCAATTCTCCTCTTAGGCGTATACCCAAGAGAAGTGAAGCATGTATTTGAACAAAAACATGTATACGCTAATGTTCATAGCATCATTATTCATGGAAACAACTCAAATGCACATCAGCTGATGAATGAATAAGCAAAATGTGGTATATTCGTAAAATGGAATATTTTTTAACCTGTAAAGAGGAATGAACTACTGACACATGCTACAACATACATTAACTTTATGCTAAGTGAAAGAAGTCAAACACAAAGACAATACATTATATAATTCCATTTGTATGAAAAGTCCAGGGTTTTGGGGTTTCTTTTGGGGATGAAGAAAATGTTCTGGAAATAGATAGTGGTGATGGTTGCACAGCATTTTGAATATACTAATGAACCACTGAATTGTATACTTTAAAATGGTTATTAAAGTGGTAAATTTGTGTTGTGTGAATTTTATCACAATAAAAAAATACAGTCACATACATATAAAACTAAACAGAATTTACGGTATAAAGAAACAAATGTATAAATACAAATGAAAGTATACTTTATAAAATACAGACATGATGCATTTGATGGGCGTCTAAGAGTGAATTTTTTAAGAGTGTTTCAAAAGCTCATTTGTAAATTAGTTTTTTGGGAACTGGAACATGTTTTATGATGATTCAAAAATCACTGAGTCTTAGGAGGTAGGCAGGAAAGATTATATTCAAATGCTAGGAAATAATATCCATGCCCTGTTTCCTAATAGGAAACTAAGAATCTTTTATTTCCCACATTTTCATTTCAAGCTGTTTTTATCACTGTTATTTAAACTGATTGAGTATTTAAATGACAGCAGTATTTGTTAGGTGTTGTTTTCCTCTCATTTAAATATATAATTCTGAGATTTCTTAGTGAAAATTATATTTTGATAACTATGAGAACATTATGTTAGTAGATTGAATACATATACTTTATTATATTTATATATAATTTTTAAGTCTCATAATATTTGTGTTCTTCCATGACATTATTTCATGCATTAATTTAAGATTCTTTTGTTACCATCTTAATATGATGAAACTCCTGAAAATTATAAAAATTTTGACAAAACATAATTTAAAATACTTTTCATAACATCTAAACTTTTTTCTTAATTGATATAAAATAAGTTGAGCTTTATGTGTTTAGAAAATTCTCTCTAAAAATGCCTGCAAAATACTAAGATCTATAGTTTGCCTCTGAATGGATTCTATTTTTCTTATTTATTCAGCAGGGCTATTAGTTAACAGACTGATTCTTGAAAAATGCACTGTGTATTGTTAAGTTTAACAAAGAATACCTATTTTTTTTAAAAAAACTAAGACTATTTCATTAATTTTGAAGTTATGTTATCAAAAGAAACAGGGAAGAAGCATACTACCTATTCATTTATTTGCACATTAATTCGTGTAATACATAGACAGTGTCCCCATTCTTGGTCAAAACATACTTTTTCCTGTTTGTTTGGGTTTTTTTTGGTCCTGCAGTGCAGCTTGTGGGATTTTAGTTCCCTGATCAGGGATTGAACCTGGCCCTGGGCCGTGAAAGCACCGAGTGCTAACCACTGGACTGCCAGGGAGTTCCCCTGTTTCTTTTTTTGTGATTGCCTTTTCCAATTAGATAGCCCTTCAAAAATGGTGAAGAACATTTTGCATGTTTGTCTTAAAATTTAATATCTGGTGATATTTATTTATATTTTAAGAAGTCTTTGTTTCTGGACTGTGTTATATAACCACAGTAGCATATATAAATAATTTGTGTGTTTTCTATTTCTATAGATTCTACAAAGAAAGTAAAAGACGTTCTTGAAGAATTCCATGGTAATGGTGTGCTTGCAAAGTATAATCCTGAAGGGGTAAAACCTTTTTTCTTTATTTAAGTTTCACATAGATGTTTGGGGGAGGGATTTCTTAATAAAGAATCCTTGGAAATAGACATTCGTATACAAAATGAAATTCATAATGAAATGCTATTCTGGAAGATACATTAAATGGTGTACTACTTTTTTCACCCAAAAGCATTTTGCTAATGAAAAGAACATTTCTATATTGTGTGCTTGGAAGTGTATAGATTATTTATAATACATGCTAGGTTCTTTTCCTAAAAGTCAGAAAACAGTTCTAGATAGAACGGGAGAGAAAGTGTGTCTGATTCTCACTCTCTGACATACAGATGTTAACCCCAAATGAGCATTGGCATGGGGCAGGCAGTATTCCCTTGACTGAAGAAAGATTCTGTGATGGCTTTAAGTGGTCTCTTACTTTAAAGAGCAGGCTTGGCTACAAAGAGAGGAATTTTTTTCTCCTTATCTTGTTTTAGCCTGTTACCAATAAGCTTATGAATCTCTCCCTGTAAAAACTTGATGCCCTGTCAATTGCTTTGAAGCACCTTGCTTGAATGAATGTCTTTCCCTCCCTAATTATTTGTTAATAACCTTGTCTTTAAGACAAGGTTAGCTGAGAAATGTTACATATTAAATGTTTGATCATCATTGCTGTAAGTTCTTTTGCAGCTTCACCAAGTGACAGTTGGGTTGTATGGGAGCTAAAAGAAACTGCCCTTTGTAGAAGACTCTTTTGCCTGGATATATTATCTAGCCATTCATTAGATAGATTTGTTTGCTGATTAAAATGTGATCTGTTTTTTGTTTTCGTTACCATTGTGGTTTTGAATGTTTACAAAAGCACAGTTCTTGGCTATCCTTAATATTTAACTTCTCTGGGATTCATAGAACTAATATTTTAGTCAAAACCGAATCTCTAAATTCTGACCTCAAAATATTCATATTGTTTTATAATTAATTTCCTTTTAGTATTTCCAGTACTTACTATTCTTACTCCAATATTTACTATTTTTCCTTCCATATTTTTATTCTGTCTACATTCTGATACATAATTATACTTTTTAAAGCTCTTTAACCTAAGATTTATTTTCTTTTTTAAAAATAAAGTTAATGTTTAGTGCCTACAAATGATGCAGAAAATGGACAGTTTAAAGCTACTCCCATTTGCCTATATCATGAGGGAAAAAAGCAGGCATCTGGCCTACATTTTCCTCACATTTCATTTTCCTAGATGCTTTAGAGTGAGAGAAAGAATGTTGGCAGATAAATTGGTAGAACTGAAAATCTCAAAGACCAAGAAAGCAGGGTTGGAAAGGTAAAGATGACAGCTTTACTGAATTGCTGTAAGACCCCAAAAATTCATTAATATATACATTTCCCAATCATAGTTGAAAACATGCATGTTATCTAATCTACATACAGAGAGAAAAACAGTTTTTTCCCCCTAAAGATAGCTGTCGGCTATAAATTCAGTTGGAATGTGATCTTGTTTGCTTCAATTATTTCTTATTTAAAGGACTCTCAAGACTTAGTCTTACTGATATTATATGTTTCATGGGGATTATCAGTCACCATGTACTGGATTTATTGAGGTAATTACTAGATTCATTGTTAGACACGCATATGATGTCAGCCTTTTCAATAATGTAATACCTCTCCATAAGTGCACAGGTCTGCTCTTGAAGTGCATTATTAAAATAATGACAGTTGAAAAACAAAAAAGTTAGATCTCATTAGGACCCAAAAGTATTTCTAATTTAAGAGTGAAATCACTCTCAAATTTTAAAGCTGATAGGTATTTTCCCGTCAGGAGAAAAATTTAAAGTTTTTATGAGTCTTTTAAACACTAGTATGTATTTTACAAAAGCTAATAGGAAATATTTAGGAATATTCAGTTTTAGAAATAAATCTTTAAGGCCTAGAGATTCTGTTCAGTACATGCCTTCATCAAGTTTATGAAAGGTTACTTTAATAGTAGGAAATAATTCATACTGTCAACTCACATGTGCAGTTACCACTCTGTATTGACTGGTCAAGTTGAGCCCAAAGTAGGCATAGATGAGTGACTACCTAATTGATGTTCAGTTGTACAAGAAAAGTGATTAATATAGTCTTGCTTTGGAGTAAATGACTAATACTTTGTTTTCTAAAATGGAGATGGCTTGTATCATCCATATAAAATGTATTTACAAAGAGAAAACAACCTAAATATCTTTTAAAATTGCTTCTCCCCTTTACAAAGTAAAGCTGCTTAAATAGTAGATGCATTATTTTTCTTATGATTCACTTGAACTACTGAATTATAAAAGCTCTGTGTATAAAAGCTTAATCCAATGAAAATGTGACCTGTTTAAGTCTATTTGAATAGAGGAGAAATATTGTGTAATATATGGATGACTCATTTATTTTTAATTCCTATGAGGAAATAAATGACAGACTCATAAAATATAAATTTAAACAATGGCTTTAAAGATTCTTTAAGAATAAAAACTTGAGAAAGGTGTTGAGATAACCAAACAAATATGATTATAAAGTTTTTAAGTAAAGAAACTCATCTTAAGAAAAGTAAAATGGGGCTTCCCTGGTGGCGCAGTGGTTGAGAGTCCGCCTGCCGATTCAGAGGACACGGGTTTGTGCCACGGTCCGGGAAGATCCCACATGCCGTGGAGCGGCTGGGCCCGTGAGCCATGGCCGCTGAGCCTGCATGTCCGGATCCTGTGCTCCACGACGGCAGGGGCCACAGCAGTGAGAGGCTCGCGTACAGCAAAAAAAAAAAAAAAAAAGTAAAATGACTTTCCCAAGATTAACCATCTAGGTTTGTGACAATAACTGTAGTTAAAATCTGGTTGTCTGGGATCCCAGTCTAAGACATTTCCTCTTCACTTAATTGGCTAGGCCATTAGAATGAGAGGGAAGACCTGAGGAGATAAGAAGGATAAGGGGAAGGGAAAGGTATTTCACATGCACTGAATGACATTGCATGTCATTGCAAGCATTACATTGCTTCTGTAATGAGCATAGCATTGTTCCATTGCACATAATTATTACCGACTCATGCCCAACAAGGTAAGAGATGCCTATTAGTTTCCACCTAATCTTATGTGGACAATATAAAGAGTATGATTACAGGTAGATTGTAGTGGCCATCCAGTCCTTGTGAGAAGGTTCATAGTAAAACACACTCAGAACATCTCAGATGTAACTGATTCATGAGAGTCATCGAATTTTATACTATGAGAAAGAATCAGTTTGGCATTGCATATATAAATATTTTTTCAATGGATTCCAAATTCCACACCAAATTATTTCATTGACATCTAAATAGATGGGAAGAAATTAAGCAGTGGCTTATGTATAGAAAGATATTTGTCTTTAAAGGGGTGGAGAGAGGCTGGGTATGTTATTCTAATAGAAGGAAATAGGAGTGGGGAATAAGTATAATCAAATTTATCTATATATATACTGTTATATTTTCACATTCTTCTCTGGAAGGTTTTAATTATACTGTATGTGTTATTCATTATATTTATCTCATGTCAATTAGAACTGTTTGCTTATTACATTCTAAGATTGATTGATTCAGTGATTCTCAAATTTTAGCTGGCATCAGAATCACCTGGGGGGTCTTCTTAAAACAGAGGTTATTGCCTCCTCACCTTAGTTTCTGGAATGGGGCTCAGAATTTTCTGTTTTTATCAGTTTCCCAGCTGATGCTGAAGCTGCTATTTTCGAACCACATTTTTAGACCCATGGATCTAGGGTATGCTTTAAAATCAATCTGTAAACTTGACTTTTTAGTTAAATTATCAGCAATATGAGATGATAAGTATAAATTATCTTACCTTAACACATGTATTCTTTCTTTCCTTGCATGCGCAGAAACAAGACATTCTTAAACAAGTAAGACATTTTCTTTTCTATTAAAATCTGTCCTTTCTTTATTCTGATGTGAGCTATGAATTTCTTATCCGTATCACTGAGCTATACTTCCGTACCAATAAGATTCGTATAATATACAGTATTAACTGTAATACTTATAAAGTTATAAGTGACTGGTTTTTGTTTAAATTAAAGACTCAAATGGAGGAGCTGATACCTCAGTAGAATCAAAAAGGGTCCAGAGTGCCAGCTTCAGTTTTGTAGACTCTTGAACTTAATTTTCTAATTTCACCAAAATAGAATCAGGCTCTGGTAAAATGACCTATTTAATGCAAGTCTTAACTTATTATTTTACAGTGGGAGATTTAATAATTGCTTTTAAATGAGATGGATAAGGACTTTTTAATTGGTCTACAGTGCTGTTAGAATCTGTGAAGAAAATATGAGTGAAAAGCTCTTGATTTTAGCCCTCCTGGGAAAAAGAGCAATCCATCTGTTGTTTCAACCAGTCTCTCCTAGTAAAGTCCATTTTGTCAAGGAAGTTTTAGGTCCATAGTTCTGTTGGATTCCTAGAATTACAACACTTTTGAGTTCTCTAAATGGAGATGTTTATATCCTGCTGGGAATATATCTTACTAAAATGCATGAGCTGTCTAAAACCATAACATTGTCTCCCTTGGACAATACTGGCTATGTACTAGTTGCTTCTTATTCACAAGTTTCCCTGTTGTTTCAATGACAACAAGCACTGCAGTTTCATCCCCAACATGTCCCAGTACAATTGATTACATCAGAATGATCTTGACTGACTTAGACACTGGTCCTACATACTACAGTCTCCTAGGATGAAGCACAACTGAAATGGCAACTCATTGACGGTGATGATTTTTACCAGCCCCTTTCACAGGATGGCCTTTCCCTGATCTCATCCCTGACCTCTGTGGAAATGTACTAGCTCCCCCAAAGACTGTCTACATGAGCTTTATGTTGTTAGGAGGCAACTCCTCAGAGTAAACAGTTGCTTTTATTAAGCAGGCCCTAGTTTTTAAAGGGCATTTGTTGAACACCTTACTCAGCAAACACTATTCTGCGCAGCCTTCGTCCCTGCTCCAGGCTGCTTGAAAACTGGTGACAAATGAGCGTCTTTTCTTGGGGTCAGTAGAATGAGCTTCTTCCTTCCTTTTCCTGGCTCAGCCTTTGTTCCATATGCAGTTGTTTAGTAGGGAAGCAATTTCAGTTGCAGAGTAGAAAGAATGTGGAAAGCTGAGGGTAGCCAAAAGGAAAAAGAATGAGGGCATGCATACTTATTACTCTATGTGTGTTCTTTGTTTATCAGTGTTCTGTGAGTGTAGGGTTTTCTTTTTACATTTCCTGTCATTAGATGATTCTTGGCCTAAGGCTGAGTTAAATTTTCATAGCTCCCTGGGCCTACTCTATCTTTGTACTCAGTACTCTGTACTGGGTTTGTGTTATTCAGACAAGTGAGTTGCTTCAACCCCTTAATAAGAAACCTGGGATTTCAGAACCTACATTTTGTAGTGCTGCTGCCTAATGTATATTTTAAATGTCTTTAACAAGGATATTGACACTATTATAATTATTAGCAATGATATAAACACCCTTGTATTGTAAGGTATAATTGTACTTCCAGAACCAAATTCAACCTTTACCATTAAAGAAAGCACCTGGAAAGTATAACAGAGCAAACATGGTCTTAGGGGTCTTAGGTTTCCAACTGAACTGAACTCAAATCCATATCTGCCACATATGAGCAGGTCTTGGACAAGTTACTTCATCTCTCCTAGCCTGAGTTTTTTCACCTATAAAATGAAGACAGTATTGTCTCTACTGAGTTGTTAAAAGGGTTAAATTCTAAAGTATATGCAAAATACTTAAGTCTCTGTCTGCCAGGTGTTCCATTGATGTTTTGAGGCAGTGGCTGTGAATCACGCTGTAAGGAGCAACACGATTTCATATGAAAGTTCTGGAAAATTTATGAAAGATGAAAGGGAGAATATCTGAGACACACCCCAACCAATCCTGTAACCTTGATTTTCTCAGAGCCTCACTTTCCTCATCTATAAAGTAGTAAATATAACGCTGTCACTCTGATGTCTTTCCCAATGCTAAATTAATTTCCTTCTACCGTGAGGTATGAGTGGAGGACATGACATGGGATTTGCTTCCCCTGTCAGGCCTGATTGCAATCCAGAGTGCTGTCCTGGCAATAGTTATGGTGTCTGTTGTATTTGCTCCACCTCTCACAACTGCATAAATGCCAGGACAATTAGTTAGCAAGGAATGGATGTAACATGTTAACCAGTATTTCTGCTTCTCTTCCCTATTACTATCAGCACAATTTCAGTCATCTTCCTCCTCTTATCAAAGCTACAACCAGAACACAGTTTTGAAAACGTACCGGCAAACTGAAGAATAAAATGCCTACTACAATTGTTATTAACCCAATTTTGACTGTGTATTACTTATTGTTAAATACATAGTAACTTTTATTTCGCCATGTTGCTTCAGTTTTTATGCCTTGATACTCAGAGAATTGCTCTTGCATAGAATGGAACCACATCCAACAATTTGAGAAAATATTTGCATGGATACTTGTGAGATTAATTAGTTATGTCATAATTAAACAAATCAAGTTGAATAACTTCTTGCAGGTTTCTTTTAATTGCACTGAGGATCAAATCTCAACATTTACAAAAAAAAACAAACTATTTTATATCTCTGAAAACATCTAGAATTTGAGAACGGACCATCTGCTACATCTATCCTAAATTGAAAGCTTGGATTAATGATTTGACTGCTTCATGTGGCTAGGTGATATCTGTTACAGTTGATATGTCACAGTTGATCCATGTCTCCCTTAGTGTTCTGTAATAAATATACAGAAATTTAACAATAGGTTAATATTTAGGGTATATAAAATACAATTATACTAATTGCTTCCAATTGCTTTCTCTACAGATGAGTTTTAAAAACAAGGTTAAATAATTTGAAAAATAAACTAGTAACTCTCCTGAGTTTAATCATAACAGCTAACTTTGATATGCAGTATTTAAACATTCTGTGTAGGTTGCTCTTTCATTTTTTTCATAACATTTATTAAATAATTTATATGACTTAAAAATCAGGTTAGAGAAGAAGTGACGCTGGGATCTTCAGGTGATCTTTTTCACTTGTTCAGGGACAAGTAGAGCAAACTCTTTAGGTGCTTGCTACAACTAAAACTTATCTTAAGGTTTGTGTGTTGTTTCTGTTTGTGTGTTTTCATCAACAGGAATGTTTTTTTTGAGCAGAAGTACATTTAAGGATATTAGGGGAAAATAAATCTAGAGATTTGTGTAGAAAAGCCTAGAGTGTCTAAGGATTTTAAGGGTTTTTTTAATAGGTAAAGGAAATCATGAATGATATTCCTAAGATCAACGAGTTAAATTTTCCATGTAGGAAAATACTTCTAAAGCCAATGTGAACAACAGGCTTAAGTTAAAGAGAAGACCAGGTATGAGTTATTGAAGCAGTCCAATCAAATGATGAAAGCTGGGCGGGCAATTGGGATTGTAATAGAGGCTGGGGGCAGAGTTAGAACACATTGCAGATATATGGTCAAAAGTAATAGGTTAAAAAAAAAAGTAATAGGTTACACTTAGTATGTCAAAAAGAGTTACAGTCAACTCAGTTTTCAAGATTGTGGAACTGAGTAGAGGTAGTTATGCCATTACTTTTTATTTTTATACTTTATTTTATTTCCCTTTTTTCTCTAATGGCTAGTTTATTGATACACTAGTCGATACATTTGACGGTGATAAACCAGTTGTACTAGGTATGAATATTGAAAAATCAAAATCTGTCTATAGAATTATACTTTGATTAACTATAACATAGTAGCCTTTGAAGTCAGAAATATTTAGGTCCTTGGCACTAACTAGGAGCTTTTGGCTTTGGACAATTTGCTTGACTTTTCTGAGCCTCAGATTTCTGTCTATAAAATAGGAGTGGTAGTAGCATTTACTTAAGGGGTTATCATGAGGATTGAAGTATAGCATACACATAACATATTAATACTTAGTGCAGTTCCTGGAACACAATAACATTTAGAGAGTTTCCATTATATGCAACAAACATATTAAGCAAACAGCTAATTTTATTTTTCCACTTATGGATAATAGAGTGTATCACTAACTATGAAGATTAAAAGGAGATATTGGAGGCTTTAAGAAAGAGTTTGGCATAAAAGCATGCACTGGTGAGAGATAAATATACAGAAAGTGAGAAAAGCACTTGGAACAAAAATAATTGGGTTGCGTCCCAAATGCATTTATTGCATGTATGTTATATACTGGATATTGTATCTGGACCTGTGGGAGAAATACAAATGGTTAAGATGATCTTTGCTATCAAAAAGTGTCAAACTATTAAATATATTTTCAAATTGCTGACAAAATGCTTCAACTCAGGGAATTCTTAAGCCCTGAATTCTTAAGTCTTTACCCAGTTGTAAAATGTCAATCCCTCACTCTCACATGCTGGCTGAGTATTTCTTAGTCTGCCTTCTACACCTTCCCATCTTGATTTTTCTCCCAATAATAACCCTGGTATATTTGGGCCTTGATGGATTAGAAAGAATAGAATTTATAGGATAGTATATATTTGAAACCATTCCAAATTTTTGGTTATTTTGTTATCACTAGTTTTATTGATTTTATTTTAATCTACAATATTAAATATATAACCATATGCTATTATACTTTAAAGTAATCTCATTTGAGATTTATTAAGTGAAACAGTATATTCCTGTTCAGAAGCTTTTTCTATTTCACAAATTCTTACCATCCTACCTGAATCAGTTTTCTTTGTTGCTAGATTTCCTACAAAGAGGTAATTGAGTGAAATTGTGCTATTTTTTTTCTTCTTTTTTTGCTATTCCAGTGTCCATACTTCAAATATATAAGGAGGACTTACAATGTAAAAGACACTATTTTAGGCACCATGTGATGCAGTGTTGTGTT